TGATTGCCTATTCATTTCCTGTCCTCCTTCGCTCGAAATAAATCCAGCAAAAGCCTTAATTCTCTGGAGCCAGTGTTTAGGCATTGACTGCTGGAGCCGCAGAATAAATCACCACGGAGACAGAACAGTCAGTTTAGGGCTCATGTGACCGACTGTAAATCCGTTAGCATTCACGCGTTTCTGGGAACCTGACCTGCTCTGCTTCACAATGAACGCTGGCTGTGAGGAGCGGGCGGCAACGACCAGCGAAGAAAACACACTTATTTCTAAAACTACATATTTCTCCAAACGTATCATCCTGGACTCCCCTGCAGTGAAAGTACACAAGCGAGTTATTTCCAAATGCAGTCTTGTAGCTCAGTGGTTAGAGCACTCGCCTCGCAAGGGAGTGGACCCGGGTTTGTTTCCTGGGCATGGTGAAATGTTGGGCAAGTTCCCTTACTCCACACGCAAGTCCCTGTTTACCTAGCAGGGAATAGGAACCCAGTTCTTTTGTCGATTGGCGGAGGCTTTCCAGGAGTAATAATCCCTCCAAATTAAAAATAATAATTTGGTCAATCAATCCCTGACTGTTTGCGGGGCCCTGCTGTACGCAATCGACTACCGTGTTTCGCCCACAAAATGCACAGTCAATTTACTTTTTACTATATTATGTGAAGCGCTTTCAAACGTCTCAACGACGTAATAAGGCGCTATATCAAATGCAAGGATTATTATTATTATAGTACAGTAGGACATTCACACCCAGGACTAAAAGGATTAAAGCGAGAGGAAAAAGGGTTTGACAATTTGGAAATAAAATATAGGCACTGTTGACTAGCTGGAAATTGTGTTCACAAGTTAAAATAACCAACACCAGCATCAGGAAAAACTCTCGAAAGCTTAGATTTAAAGGCAGGCGGAGAAGGGAGGATGGAAAGATCCAGGAGCCAGAACAGGAGTTCAAGGAGCAGAATAAGCAGGTTGCTATGGAAACACTCGAAAGGAGGACAGAATTGAATTAATGATGTGCAAGTACCAAGTAGCACAGAGAGAGGAGAGCTGCAAAGAGCATAAACACCAACAGCATCAAGTCCCCACTTTATTTTCAATGCAGGGTTTCTTCCAGTTGGATGAGATATTGTACGGAATCACAGAAAATGTTTGAAAAAGATGCATTAACCTTGCCTCTTGCAGGACGCTATATTTAAACCATGTCGTCATTTACGATACAAATGGAAGTGTTGCCTTACCCTTGTGCGGGTAATGGGTTAGTTTGGTTTGAGGCCAGAAATTGAACAGATTGCACTCTTAACATAACGACAGCCCTTGCCGACACAACCATATCAGACAGGGACAGCAAGATTATTGTTCACAACCAATCCCAATCCTTTTCTGATTAATAATAGTAATAATCCTTGCATTTGATATAGCCCTTTATCAAGTCGTTGAGACGTCTCAAAGCGCTTCGCAGACATATTGCAAAGTGGATTTACTGTGTATTCTGTGGGCGAAATGACAAACAACCGGGTTCCTACTTACTGGTAGGTAAACAGAGGAGTGTGAAGGAAAGAAACTCGCCTGAGCCTTCGTCCTGCAGGGAATCAAACCAGGGTCCTCTCACTTGTGAGGTTTGCTCGCGAGCCACTGCATAATTAGCTGTCACATTTCGCCCACAAAATACACAGTTAATTCATCAATTCACTTTACAGTATATCCTGTGAAGCACTTTTCAATGTCTCAAAGGTACTATATCAAATGTAAGGATTATTATGGGACAGGAGCTATTATAAGGAAAGACGTAGGTCAGATAGTACAGTACTACACTGCCCAGCTTACATTGCTGTTCAATTAAATGAACTGGCAAGGTCAGATCAGAATGTGCGCAAAGCTTTTTTGGTTGATTGCACCACTGATGCAGTGTTAGCCAATATCAGGGCCTCAGTCTATCTGTGCAGCTGAAGCTCAGACTATTAATAGACTGAGGAATATGGTGCTGATGGAATTTGGCCAGGGATTAGAGTAGAAGCCGCCCATGGGGGTGCTAGGCACAGGCGCAGACCCAATGGCCTCCTCCTGCTCTTTGACTAACACACTATCCTGCAGCAGCTCGCAGATCTCGTTTTAATGCTGATCTCAAATGCCTTCGCAAGTTCCAAGCGAGGTGGTTAGTTTCGCACCACATCTCATTTCCTCTGGGTTTGTGAGATTCGTCTCGATGAACATTTTTGCAGCCCATACTTTTGCACATCAATAGGATTGTCCTCTGTTCCAGTTTCTTTTGAGTTCGTGAGGAACCCTCTATCGATTCCCCGAACCAGATGTTCACTGCTCACTTGGTCTTTTAGCTTACTGATTACAAGTATATAATCATATTATATATTAACCATGATATAATATTATATTATATTGCCCTCTGTTCCACCATCAGTAGCCGTGCCTTCAGCCACTACACCCGGAAACCTTGGAACACTCTTCCTCTATCCCTTCGCCTTGCCCCTTCGTTCCCTATCTTCAGGTCCCACTTGAAGCCCTTCCTCTTCAACCGTGCTTACGGCCGCTTACTCCCTTCCTCCTCCTCCCTCTCCCTGGCTCAGCGTTGTGCTCTGCCACTGTCAAGCGCTCTGGGACGCTACCCTGAGTGATGGCCGCTGTGTAAATACAAGTTGTTGTTGTTATTGCTATGACACGACTAGCAATGAGCATTCAGCTGCCCTGTTCTTGCACTATTGTTTCATGATTTCAAAACAGAGATTGGGACATTGTCCTTAAAAATGCTCCTTGCTCAGACTTGTACTCATTTAAACTCATTCCTATTCATTAAATTCCAGAGCAAACTCCTGCTTTGTTTCCATTCAGAAACTCAGTGCAAATAAACAGGGTGCAGTTTACAGCAGTTCATAAAACGTTCCTATCACAAGGAACATCCTAGAAAAAAGCCATAGCTTTCTCCTAGCATCGTTATATGTTTGTCTTATCCAAGCCTTCAAAACATATTTCATATATTTTGATCCTTTTGCGTAGAACTAAGGTTTCCTTGTTCTCTGGCACCTATCCATAGCTTTCAAGATGACATTATTGCTGCGGTTAGCTTTCCGCAGTTGACTTGCTTTCACTGTGTTGTAGACAAAGGAATTTCTGCACGTGAAATATCCCATGAATGAAATGTACAAGGTTGGGATTCAATTCAGTTTGAAAGCTGTGAGAAACAAGACTTGGATGTGTAATGTGCATCTCCTTTGACATCTCCCGTGAAGGACGTCAGTGCGAATCCCCAAATGTAACACATTAAATGAAACATGTTCAGTTCTAAGGCAGAGGCAGAGTCATTTACTGGAACCATATTAACACAAACTGCTTATACCAGAGGGTATCCAAAATATGAATGGAGGGTAAAATAGGGTATTTCTTGACTGAATTCCTTAATAAGAGATATACCAGTTGATTCCTTCTGGTTACCAAAAGTGAGCCACACTTACCTGATATACAGGAACTTTCTTTCCTTGTTCCTCCTCACCTTGTCCTGCAGCTCAGTTGTTAGAGCACTTGCCTCGCAAGCGAGTGACCTGGGTTCTGTTCCTGGCAGAGCGAATTGTTGGGCAAGTTTCCTTATTTCACACGCCTCTGTTTACCTAGCGGTTGTTAGTCGATTAGCGGATCGCTTTTTTGGGCATAATAATCTCTATTAAAAAAAATGCGGTCACTCAATCCCCGACTGTTTGTGGGACACTGCTGTGTGCAATTGGCTGCCGCATTTTGCCCACAAATATTACAGTCGATTCACCTTACAATATATTCTGTGAAGCGCTTTGAGACATCCAAAAGACTTGAAAAAGCGCTATATCAAATGCAAGGATTATTATTATTATTACCTTCAAATGCATCTCCCTACACTCCGTGCATCCTCACCTTATTGAAGCATCTCAACAATGTAATAAGATGCAATGTTAAATGCAAGAATTAAATGAAATGGAGCGCACTATGTCTCTCAGATCTCTCCTCCTTTAACAATCTCCAGGCTTTTAAAGCTCCAGGTTTGATATCATCTACTGTTGATTTACTTTGTCTCCTCTCCTGCATCTTTCCAGCCTTGCTGATGTCCTGCTTGTTCCTTCACCTGGTTTTCTCATTATAGAAACATAAAGTAGTGTTGTGCACATCACCTCACATTAAGTTCACTCCGCTGTGATTGCTCAATGTACTGATCACCAGAGAATCAGATACCGCTTGCTTCTTACGTGTACTAGTTTTGCTAATTATTCAAACTTTTCAAGGCTTCCCTTGTGTGGAATTTACTGCGTAAGAACTTATGGGGATTGTGTGGGTGTGTGTGTTTTGGGGGAGGGTGTGATGGGTGGGGGGGGGGGATGTGGAGAAACTGGAAACCAAATGGACAAATCTTGCTGCAAATAAGTCAAGCTTAACAGGTAAACGTTTTTGAGCAATCGAAAAGTCATGTTTCCGAGGCCTGAAATTCCATCTAATCTTAGTCCCATACAACAATCATTCTGGTTTAATTTGGAAGTCGTTTCTCTGGTAATCTGCGACCGAGATAAAGGGCCTTACAATTTGGTGAGGCAAGCAGTCCAGATGTACCACGGCGGATCGGTCAAACACATCTAACCGAGGTAGGCTAATTTGAATCTTGTTGCATTTTTCCAAGGGGTACCTTTAAGGATTGGGGGTATATTTCACATGCATTGCTATTTATTGCTTGACCTCTTTGTTTTGCATTGCTGTTGTTTTGCATTGGTGCTTTTCCCCTGAACTTTTCACGATGCTTGTTCAAGGTTTTATTTTCAAAATTTATTGCAATCTCATGCTGGCCGTACTCGGCGCTATGATTTCTGCATTATTTCATAAGTTACCTGTTTTGCTTTCATTTCTGTTGTTTCCTGGATTTTATTCTATTGTGTTTCTCCTCCTTCCCCCCACCCCACCCCTCCTCACCACTCACCACCCACCACCTACCACCAACGCACACCCACAACGATTCCCGCTACCATGTGTTCCTTCATCAGCTGGTAGAGAAGGGTGGACAATACCACGGACAACTCCACGAACTCCGTTGCAGATGAAGCTGAGTGCCCACCCGCCAGGAGCCATGCGAAGTCAGTATTTTCTCCCCCAAGGTGAGCCCCTTCCCCTCACTCAGGCTTGGTGACGTTTCTCACCATGGCACTTCCCAGGGCTTTTAAGTAAGAAAGACTTCTTTGACTTATGATAAGTGATTACTAACACATATAATCTATGAAGCGCTTTTGGACGTTCTCAACAACATGATAAGGATAAATGTAAGGATTATTATTATTAATGTTATTATTTGTCGACTTTGTTCGCTGAGTCATTAGGACCAGATCCGTGCCCTTTCACTCCACATCTGCTCCTGGTGTTTAGATCTGGAATGAATCCCTGAATGACTTTGACGAGACCAAACAGGTTGCTGTTGACCCCCACAAAGCAATGTTTGCTGCACCAGTATCCATTCACTTTTGTTTTTCCGATTGATGATTTCCTCTTTGCAACCATCTCCCTCTTGCGGTTGCCTCCCCGTCTCTCTCAATTCCCAAGAGTATCAAAAAACACCCTGTATAACACCCAATCCAGGGTGTGTCTGTCAAGGTGAGATACGTTCTCTTGCTCTCTCCAATGATTGTTACAAATACCTCTTCCCACAATGGAACGCTCTGCTTACATTCTCCAGCTGAGAACCTGTAAATCAAATCGGCTGGGATTGTCATGTTCAAATGTCAGTGGAGGATGGTATTGAACCTCAGACCAGTGCAATTGGTGCTCCAACACTAGGGCTTCCAGACTGCCTAAGTTCAGTAGCCTTTCACTTTACACAGTAAATTAATTAACTGGCGTATTAATATTAGTTAATATGTCAACGTAACAGACATCCACAATGTATGGTAGATGGACAAACTGCAGACTCAGGTTCACAAGAGGAAAGATGAACAGACGACTTAAGGTTGACTGCTTTGTACAGAGGGTGGTCAGTGTAAATAAAAAGATATTGCCAGTGGGGACAATATGGGTGAATTCAAGAAGGAGCTGGACAAATTGTTTGGCAAAAAAAAGGAGACGGGCGTACGAGAAACTTTTCAAGGCAAAGAAAATAATTCTAATAGCATAGGGAAAGAGTGGAATAATAAGATTAGAGTCAAGTAGCGAGCGAGCTGGCTAGCAAGAGATTTTTCCTGCAGCGAGTTAAAGAATACTTTTCTTCAGTGATATCCAACCTAGGTTAAATATATGAGGCACCATATTAAAAACCTTCTCTTATGAATGCCTCATTACCCGTGAATGCTCTCTCTCTCTCTCTCTCTACCCTGTCAAGCTCTTCCTGTTGCCCTCTGGCTAAGCACAAGCTTGAAGAAGCTTGCTTGCGTGTGTGTTAGAGATTTCAGGTCCCCTCCATTTGCAGGGAGTGCATTCAGCAACCAGAGAGAGCTACTGTGCTCTCAGTCACTGGCTGGAGGCAAAGCGCTGGTTCACACAACCTATCCGTTGAGCCATATCCAATTTAATGAATGCTTGTGCGGGGATACAATCCATATGTTGATTTATAAGGGGAAATAAAAAAATCAGTTGATGTGTTAACCAATGAGAATGTCGAGAATGAGTTTCTCAGATCCGTATTATTTACAGAGGCTATTCCCAATCCCCTTGAAGGAATGATGAGGTATTAATCCTTTCATCTTGGAAATGTCATCCGGAATGATCGGAGTGAGTTTCCTGCTTGTGAGCATAACATTGCCTTTCTCTCTCCGTGGATATGTATTAATGCAGCCACCATGCAGTCACCTCCCAGAGGGGTTTATGATGTGTTCTTGTTATTTCAGAGTCTAAGACTGTTGTTTTAATAGTACATTTTGCCCACGTACTATTGCACAATGGGTCTTTTAGCTCAGTCAGGCTCGTGTGGGATGATCAGGGTGTCAAGCTGTTTTCAAGAGGGACATAGATAGGTGTGTGAAGGGATATGGAGATAGGGCAGGGCAGTGTGATTGAAAGTGTAAGTTGCTCTGAGACACTTGATGGGCCAAATGGCCTCCTTCCCCACTATAAATGTCTATCATTCCTTGTTGGTGGCCAATAACAGCATTTAGTTTTCTCTATTTTGGTGAAACATTTATTTATAATTTTACAAGCGCAGAAAACAAACAGGTCTGGGGGAACAGCACGCTGGATATCAGGAAGGGTGACACGGAGAGAGACACAGAGGGTCACATAACCTGGTCACAATGATATAATCACTCACTTGCAGATACATTAAAAGGTCATGATTGAATCCATTCCGGGGAAAACTGATGCCTCTGGCAAGGAAAGGCACACACGAGACAACTTGGAATACCATGAATAATTAAAAAGGGCATATTAGGGTTTCTTGACATACGTCAATGCTTATAGGATCAGTTTAAAGGAGTCTGTAGGACAAGTCACCCAGACATAGAGGCTGACCTCAATATTTCCTCTTAGCTGAGAGGACGCAGACAATTAAATGATGTTTACTGTAAAAATTGGACCAACTGATGTTTAACATGTATCACAGATTCGGAGGCTGGATTGAGGAGGGCTGCTGTGTTGGCTTCACGAAACCAATTCCCCCTCGACACTACCTCGCTGCATGAATTGTTCACTTATTCACCAGCTTCTGGGTAAAGAAATTAAATCTGAACTCCCTGTTTACTTCCCCTCTTTGGGACTTAACACCACACACCCAGAACTCTGGGCTACATCACACATATTATTGCAGTTGGGTCGTTTGACAGCCCTTGAACACCTTTTCCAGCATTGCACAATCTGCTAATAACCCTCTCTCATGTACATGCAGCAAATGGGTTTCAGTTGTTAACTTCTTCCTAATCGCTTTGCCTCGCGGCCTGGTCTCTTCCTTCATCCAGTTCTGATGAGGGATCTCTCACCCGAAACATTAATCTATCTTTCTCTTTCAGATGCCGGTTGACCTGCTTTGCATTTCCAGCCTTCTCTGTTTTTGTTTCAGGGGTTCCAGCCTTCACGGTTTTCCCTCTTTAATCTCTTTGACGTTCCCAGCTTTAACATCAAACACTCCCCTGGTCAGGCACTGCCCAGATTTAATTAGGATAAAACTATTACTGAATTACCTTAAAACACCATCTGGATTAGGGTACCTTCCCTTTCCCACACCTGGAGTTCTTTGCCAATTTAGAGCCAGATTAGGACATAATTTAGTGCTGTGAGACCCTCAACCAACAGTACCTGAGCTGAGATTGGGCACAAACTCATTTCACACAAAGACTCTTCCCTCCCAAGGAGACGTTCATCCCATTAATCAGGTCTCAAGAGGTGAAAAGGGTCACCCAGTTCCCTCACTTCACTAATCCTCAGTAATACTCCTGAGAATACCATGGTACAGTAGAGCCCATGGCACCTGTCACCCTCACTCCAGTGATAGACACACTGCGTGAGTATGAATATGGGAGATACAAGGAGGCTAGTTGACTGAAGGTGACACACAGCTCAGCTCAGTAATGCCTTCAGCCAATAACGACACACCTTCTCACAGGACAGCAGTCAGCGTTACTCACAGCAATGAGGCCAATTGCACTGTCGCCATCATTGCACTGGCTGAGATCAGGTCGCGAACCCAGCACTGGCTGAACCTGGGGCTTTTCCATTCTGTATTGCTGACTTCTCCGCTGGGCATTGATTGCTCTCATCCACTGAGCTATCCAGGAGTGAACTCGCTCACTCACTCACTCACTCTCTCACTCACTCACTCACTCACTCACTCACTCACTCACTCACTCACTCACTCACTCACTCACATTTGATATCTGTGCACCATGCCAGAGGTGATAACTGACGTTTGCCCCCATTGTGCCCCTGACAGAGGGCATCGAGTCATCTCCAGTTCGAGTACCAGGAGAGCAGAGCTGGACGCCCAGACTAGCGGTGAAATTTCCCCCGCATCACCAGGCCACTGACTATCTACACAATGTCTACATCCCGGGCACGACAGCCACACTCTCCGGGAAATCCACCTCCGAGCGCGAGGGGAAGAAATCCTTCATCACCTTCGGGAAGAAGAAGAAGAGCGGTAAATAAGCTTTTAGGCGAGGGAGAGAAACGGAGTTTAATAAAAAAGAACATTATTAATAACAATAATAATAATAACAACAACAATACCGGCGCTGCATGTCTGAAGCACGTTTTGTGTTTTTTTTAGAAAAAATAAATGACTAAAATGTCACTGACTTACTTAAGCCACTGGGATCAACCCAGTTCTGTTTTTTGCTGCCCTCAGTATTAGTTTGAAAGGGAATGGAGATTTTCAACTGCAATGAGCATGTTCAGAGAGCTGAATGCCTTGGGAGGAATTGGGAGCCTTATACCTAGCAACTGCTGTGGACGAAAATATCTTTGCACCACTAGCAATCTGCTAAGTCCACGTCTTCAATCCTTCATAGTGTTAAGTGTTGGTTATTAATGTTAGTTATCAATCACTGTCATCAATTAGTTTTCAACCAAGTCACTAGGTGCAAAGCAGTCTAGCATTTTCCCCCGTAAGAAGGGAATTGGCTCAAACCATCTCGCTCTCTCCGTCACACGTCAACTAACTGGTTGAAAGGCCCAACGAGAGCTATGTTTCATTGCAAATTAAGTTGACCTGTTTTCTCACCAAAATTCCCGAGTCAGGTGAGAACCCCTTCTCCTGTCCTTCGCCACCCCACCCCCCACCACACCCACACCCCAAGATGGTTAAAACGTTTAAAGAAAGATCCATTCCCTTTTTCGAAGACTTGTTACACATGTTTCAACTATTGTCGGCAGCCACTGATTTTACTGAATCCCATTTCCTGTGCTAACGTGTCTCCATTTATCCATTCCAATGTGTCACTCGGCCTTAACGTAGATTAAGCAGCGCTTTGTATCTCATTGTGCATGTTGCCAACCCTCCCTCACCACCCCCCGCCGACAAGGGTTATCGCTCTTTTGAAATTTTCTGAAATTTATTTACCACCTAACACCCCAGCTTTAATGTTCGGAGGGTGTGTGGCAGATCATAAAAGAGAAAAACAAATGTGTGTGTGTAAAAAAAAAAGTAATGCCTTCCTTCCTTTATGAATTGAGTTGGGTCAGAACGCTAACAATGCATCCCATTTCTGGCCCAAGAGAAAGCATCTTCCTGATATTCCTGATCTCATTCCATTGCAACCGTAGACAGTATTGGCTGGTGTTTCAGAAATTGGCCCCTGTCATAATATCTCAAGGAGATCCCATGATGGACAGTGTTTGTTGCAAGGAAGGGAAACAGGGAGAGATTGAAATTGGAATTAAATTGGAGTTGAGGTACAGATCAGCCATGATGTGCAGGCTTGAGGGGCTGAATGGCCTACTTCTGTTCCTATAGGCAAGGAAGAGTATGAGGAAGAGAGAAAGAGAAGAATGAATGGAAGGAACAAGGGATAAAGGGAGCGAAGGTCTAGAGGGAGGAAGGAAAAATATAAAATATTAGTACGCCGAAAATACGTATAAATTTTGTGGAACAGGGACTTGACTATTTAGATACCCCTTTAAGTCCTGAACTGTATTTTTTTTCCTGAAAAACAGCAGCGATAACCCTATAATCTTGATTTTTCTCTTATTGACTGGGATAATGAGCCAAGGCTTTCTGAGAAGCCTTTGCTAACCAGTGCTAGAGCGAGCGCAAGTACTCTGTAGCTGTTGTAATATTTAGGCATGCTGAATGTGTCCTGTGAACAGTGATTATGAATATATGCATATACAAGTAGTTGTCCAATTTCTTAGTGAGAGAGAGTGCGAGCGAGAAAGACTGAATTAGCTCTGACAATGTGAACTTCCTTCTAGTTTCTCGATGTTAATTTTTTGCTAAAATCTGTTTTAATACAATTTCACCGTGTGTGGTGCTGTACACTTCTACACAAAGACCTTTTTTTGTACACTAAGCCAACACTAGTCAACTCTAATGATGGTCCAAGTTTCCTTATCTTGCACTTGTCTATTCCTGCAATGCTCTTGAAATTGCTTCCACCAGTATGATGGCCTGTACAACCACAAAGTGTATCACAGAGTTCCTGTAGCTTCTCACAGCGTGCTGTAACCCTACTGCAAACATTTTTGCTTTGAACTGTATTGCTTTATATTAGTACTGTTTTGCTCTAAGTTCAGTCTTTCCAGTAAAAAAAAATTGTTCCTTTAATCCATTCAATGTGTCTGTCCATGTTTCATATGAAGACTTAATCCTGGGAAAACGGATGATGTAAAATTCCGTCTACACCACATCACTCACTCACCACCAAACAAGATCACAGACTCACAATGGGGACTTTGAGCTCACAGTCAAGGCTGACGTTGAGTGATAGGTGAAGCATTGCATTGTTGGAGGCGCCATCTCTCGGATGAGACGTTAAACCGAGGTCCCGTTAAAGATCCCGTGGGACTATTGGAGAATAATATTGGGGAATATTGGTCAACAATCTTCCAGATAAATTCACTGTTGTGAATAGATTATTGTTGGATGTTGCTGTGCCCAAATTGGCCGCCAGGGTAAGCCAACAAACACACAGTCACTTCACTTGAAAGCAATTACCTGGGAAGCACTTTTCCCCACTATAACTGACAAAGGATTATTTATCAAGATACACTGCACCTGGTCACCCTATGTTGGGGGGGGGGGGGGGGTGGGGGGTGTCAGAGAGTGAGGGAAATGGTCATGTCTCCCCCAAAACAACTTTTTTGCTCAGTTTTTATTTTTGCCAGTTGTCAATTTTTGCAACTTTGCTCCCCTTCCCCTCACCTCTTCTCTCATTTCTGCTGCACATCAGTCCCACCATTTCCCCTCTGCTAAACAGGGAAAGCTCGCACAGAACAAAGGAAATTAAGACCAAGAGCTCCCCTCCGCCACACTGAGGCAGAAAACATGCTCCCAGCAGCGTTTCATTAACTCTGGAGTGCTTTTAAGCAAATATGAACGTCAAGGATGATTCATGTGAATGTTAGCATTTCACCCGTGCGGTTTGTCACTCCAGTGAACAAAGAATTTACATTGAAGAAATGTAACATTAGCTGTGGCTCCAGACTGCACATGGGATCAGGGCTCCAGTCTTGTCTTTAATTCAATACACATTTATAGAATTCATTGAAGTGGAAACACACATGATTTGGCTCTTAAAAAAATTTTTCTCCCATTTTGATTTTACTTTCTGTTCGTAGAAGTGTCACAAGCGACTATGAAATACACTCTCTTCACGGTGGATCAAGCTTTCAATTGCTTGTAATCCCCCCACACCCCCCACTTTCTGGAACTCTTCCCCCTTTACTTTATTTCAGCTACAAAATATACTGTCAATTCACTTTACAGTAGATTCTGTGAAGCGCTTTGAGACGTCTTGAAGATGTGATAAGGCGCTATTATCAAATGCAAGGATTATCATTATTCGTTCTTTCTCGGTGTTCAAATCCTTCTTAAAACTAAAAGACATAAAGACCACCCCCACACACACACAGAAAACACATAGTTAAACAAAGGATGTGCAATTGTAAATCAAGGAAAATTAAAGGTGACAAATAATTGGGAAGTGAGGGTCTCAAGGGATATGGAGAAAAGGCAAAAGACAGGTAAATGGGATTAGAAGATCTACCTGATCTAATACACTAGCTAAAACAGGCTCGATGGGCTGAATGGCTTCTTCCTTTTCCTGTTCCTCTGTTCCTAGCCAACAACAAGAGGTGCTGAGATGTCAGTCAAGCTCCAAGTGAGGCAAGAGGAAAGCAAACCCAGGGGTTAAACAATATAGAACATACTGAATTCATTTCAGTTATTTAATAGCATTGCATTCAAAATGCCTTCACATTCACATACAACACATACAACACGAGTGAAATCGGAAGGCAGTTTTTCACGCAAAGAGAAGTGGAACTCTCTCCCCCAAAAGGCTGTGGATGCTGTATCCACCCACGTCTTCAAGACTGAGGTGCAGAGATGTTTGTTAGGTCAGGGTATTAAGGGATACGGGGCAAAGGTAGGTAATTGGAGTTGAGGTACAGGTCAGACATGATCTTATGTCATGAATGTCCCCACCCATCCTCTCCGCACATCCATCATTATGGCTGAGGAACAATGGGGCAATGTCGCCGCCCTTGTGGTAACTATGTGGCATTTGCATATCACATCAATACATTGTGGGAGTTGAACGGCTTTATTGCTGAGTGCACTTGTGTAATGTACCACTCTTAATGCAGAATTTCATTCTTTATTTCTCTGCTGACTTCCTGCTGAAGCACTGCTTAGTTTTTTTAAAAAAAAACGCCATCATTGCGTTCAGTGACAGGGAGAGTTAAAATGAAATTCATGGACCTGGAGTCAAGGAAGGACACACAAATCCGATGTAGCACCACCCACCGTTATGTTGCTTTGGTCTTCTGCGAGATTTAAAGCTGTTAACACTATTACTGCTGTTGGTGTAATCCGCCAACAGCAGGTCTACTTTACAAAAACATTCAACAAGAAAATACGTCTCTCAGACTGCATATTCTGCATTTGAGCTCACAGTCCAGGCTGACACCAGTGCAGTGTTGAGGGAGCACTGCAGTGTCAGGGGTGACATCCTTCAGATGAGATGTCTTCTGATGTGAAAAATGCGATAACAAATTGAAGGATTAATTATTGTCTGAACAATTTGTTCACAACTTAGATTCCAAATTTGAGGCTGATTTATTTTCCCGCTATTGGTTAGAGCACTCGCCTCGCAAGTGGGTACGATTGCTGGGCACGGTGAAACCCGAGGCGAGTTTTCTTACTCTGCATGCCTCTGTTTACCTAGTAGTAAGTTGGAACCCAGTTGTTAGTTGATTGACAGATTGTGTCCGGGGGTAATAATCCCTTTTTAAAAAATAATAATAATTTGGTCACTCAATTCATGACTGTGTGATATTGATGTGCACAATTGGCTGCCGTGTTTCATCCACAAAATACACAGACAATTCACTTCACAGTATATTCTGTGAAGCACTTTGAGACGTCTCAACAATGTGATAAGGCGCTGAATCACATGGAAAGATTATTATTATTAATATTATTATTCTCTATCCATGGCCTCTCTTTATAGCCTTCTAGAAATAGATCTTCATTGTGATTGTGGTAGTCAATGAGCATCAATCCCTCTGACATGATTTTTGGCATTTAGCCAAAGTATTTCCGACAAAAATTAATGGAACATGATTGAAGTGACATCTGCTTTATAGACACTTTGCTAATTTGTCACACTCGGGCACATTTAACTACAATTTGTCATGACACAGGACCAGGACAATTTGTCCTGGTTCAGCAGGGTGTCTGGGTGTTTGGGTGTGATAGCATCTCGCTGTCTATATGGGAAAACAAGGTGACCAATTTGGGGTGTAACTAATCATTGTACAAACATCACCAATAGGACCAGATATGCAGTGATGAACTCATTGATATAGACACACTTTAAGTAGAGACAGTAATTTGCTAATTTGCGGTATTTCTTAATAACAGTTCCACATGAATTGTGGGGTGGGGCTGGGGGAGAGGGGGGTTTGGGAAAATGTGTTCTACAGTAAATGGCATTTTGTCCTCCTGACATGTGCAAATTCTCTCCTTGACATCTGGTACAGAGGTCACGAAGGTCGAGGGAGTTCTAAGGAATTCCTTGTTAAGCAATCCTATTAAGAAATGTCACAAGTTAGACCCCCCCCCATGATAGCCATTTGTGTGTTCAAAACCAACCTTATACACTTCATGTTTTCTCAGAACCCGAGGATTGCTTTAGATTTCACTGCAATGAAATTGTAATAATATTAATAAAATTAATAATAATTAGAATAATCTTTGCATTTGCAGTGTCAGCTTAGACTATGCGATTCCAAGTCTCCACATGGGGGCTTGAAACTTTCGAATCTGAGCCATTTGACTCAGAGGTGAGAGCCCTCATACCACTGCACGAGGCTGACACAATACATCCCTGCACAAATATCCTGAGCTGATTTCAACAGATAAACTTGGATTTAAAATGAGTAAGTGAGCAATTCTAAACTGACTAGCATTAGTCTACACGCACCCTTTTTGCATTGATTTTACACCCTTCACCGCATCATTGGAATACATCATTATACGTTTAAAAAGAGGGAGCATTTATTCCAGGCACAGCTCTATTCATTCCCACCCTCGAATCAGCACTCTGTTCCGTTAAGATGCTTTTGGTTCATACTGAACACTTTTTGAAAAAAATACTTGGCTCGTTAAGATTAAGTCGAAATCCATTTTTTTCTTCCTGTGAGCAGCGATATACTCAAGACATTGGCAACTGAAGCCTTTGAGT